CATCAGAAAGAAAAACTGAGGTAATCCACCCACCCTTTCTACTCCTGGTTTTTGCACTGAACATCCARAAGGCCCCCCAAATCATCATGCAAGTTGGCCGACATTAAGTTACTCAAGTCTAACTTGTTATTCAGGTGATCATCAAAAAATGTGTTGTTGTTATTCTGTGTTCTGGTGGACAAATATCTGCCTTTTTTTTCCACCAGGAAAGCTGCTGGACTCCTGTGAGCAGAGCCACCAGCCAACATTGTTATTTAATAGCTCCCGTTTGCGGTCCTGAATAATGTTGTCTACTTTATATCCACTGCACATCACAAAGACAAAACAGGGAGCCTGCACGATTTATACTTTTTGGATGACATTACGGAAATTATCTCAGTATCAGCTCTGTTTCGGGGTAGGGCATCCCATGATTGCATTTTCTTTTTAACTTTCCAGCTCATCTATGACATGGTTACTATGGGGACGACCTACCCCAAAGCTTCTTATCAGATCATTATTTTCTCAGAAGGCTTGGCAGTGCAAACTGCTGTCAGACCCACTCCTCCATGCAGCTAAACCAGCCTAATCAAACGCTTGGCTGAGAATTTGGTCTCCCCCGGCAATCGCACACCACCATTACAGTCGTATAAGCTGTACTCATAAWAGACTATTTGCGACCAAACAACACCTGTTAAATATCCAAGCTTCTAATTCAAACTTGACTTTTGTTTTTGTGGCTATCAGGGAACATTAGCACAATTGTTTTCATTTAGGTAAGATAGGTGATATCWATAATAATTTATCTCCTATTTTGCTCACGTTCGAGTCATTAACTGTTTAATTTGGCTTCTTTTCTTTTTCTTTTCTYGTTTCACCTTCAGGTCAATTTGTTCTAACAACTTTATTTTCCTCCCGATATTATTTTGGAAATAATTATGGATTTATTTTCCTGTGCACCTTCATTTATTTATTTCCAAAGTATTGGCATTATATGGCCTGTTTAACCTGAATTGCATAATGCATGGAAATTAACTTGGCTTTAGATGAAGCTGTTCCAACACATAAGTCTTTGAAGAAATTATGCATGCAGAAACAACATAGCTAGAATTTTAATATGTGTCAATGTTTTTTTTTTCGTATTATTAATTATACAATACAGTTTTTTTAAAAAAATGAATGCATAAAAATCCAACACCTTTAATTTCTAATCAGTTTACACAGTATTAACATGTTAGAGATCTAAAAGGAATTATTTTCACATTAACTGTTTAGTATTGTCACAATTTCTTTAAAAGCTGTCTCAAAACATGGATGTTTATTAAAAAAATAGAACCAATATGATGCTTACAGATTATTAGCATTAATACAGTATCTTAATACACATTTTTAGGTTTTCTTTACCACAGTCACTTAGGACTGTATTAAGTTGTTTATGACACTTTTTATCATTTATCAAAATTAAATAGACTGCACATTTTGTATTGCACAACAGATTAAAACACACTTACACTGCTGACATAGTTAAGGCACCTTTTAAACTTCATGAACCCCATATATAAATACATAATATATCTACAATGCCAGAACACTCCAACTATGTTCTAAAAGTGTGATAAAAGTACGTATTGTATTTTATTTTGCTTTAACTTCAGGTGGTCTTGACAACATTCTTT